TACAGAAATGAAACGTTGTGGTCTTTGGCTTGGGTCGCACTAGATATTTACAGAGGGATTGAGTAAAACAAATTTAAGCAGTGAAAGAAGCCTGTTGCGTCAGATGACTGTGAGTTTCGAATGTGCAGCCAACGCTAACTGTTGCGCTAACTACATAAGTAGTTCTTTGTTCACTGAACTCACCACATTGTGCAGGCGCGGCTAAGCTAAGTAGACCGTAACCAAAACATTGTCACAAAGACGGACTTTCCTGATCAATTCTGCTGTACTTTGACATGTCTTTTTGTTTTGAGGTAAGGGGCGACCGTGTCGCACGTAAATATGGTCACGAACAACAAAAAAAAATAAAATAAAGATAAATCACGACGTACGTGAAGCATGTGACTTAAACTTGTTGCAGCAGACAAACGCATCAGATCTGTGTGGAGCGATGAGACAAACATAATTGTCACGTTTCCTTCATGTCATCCATCATTTGTGGTTTGACTGCTTTAATTGCATCGTCTCATTGCACGCTCTTCTTCTGAGAGGGTTTAACGGCACCAGACTGTATAATTGGAGCCGCCAACCGTTTATCTCCGTGAACCAATTCATAATATTAAGAACAACATAACAACAGTAGATGAACCGTGCTTTCATTTGCATTTTGTTTTGTACTTTTTTTTGGGGAGGGGGGGTTAGAAATTGTCAGAAGACAAACTTCTTCTAGCTCCTATCGTGTTGCCATGACGACTGTTAATAAGGAATGACTTGCACCTTACACGGTCGAGGTGGAAGCTTCAATTTTTATCTTAAGCCCACTGTTTAACAAACTTTTATGGTGCTTCCTGTTTTTGCTAAGCTGTAGTGTCACTATCTCCTCGCTCCTCACCTTTTTTTAAAAAAGATTTTATTGCACAACTATTTGCGTAACAAATGAAACTGTCGGCATCAGAGTGTAATGCCAGGTTTTTAGAGTGGAAACTACCCATTATGCACATCTGTAAAACACAGCTCAATGTAAGTCCATGTACATCATCATTCAGTTTTTTTTAATGACTGTTTCTTCAGTGTGTAATGACAACTGTTTTCTGATGGTTGGATTCAGCTGCGCCCTGATTGCCGTCTTCACGCTCCTCTCCTCCGTAGCCTCAGACTCTCTTAATTGGCCTCCGTCCTGCATTGTTTCCCCGTGTCTACCATTCCGGTGGTTTTCTGTACACGTTCTGTTTTCGGCCGTACGTCAGCCCCCCTTATATGTTTTCATAAGGAGCCTATATAGGTATAATTGTAGTGTTGCCTTCCTGCTGTGTGGCTAGCTGAGGACTGCTTATGCACAGGAGGGTCTGCAGGTTTCCCGACACTTAGCTTGGTTTAAGCTGAGCGTGTGTGTGTGTGTGTGTGTGTGTGTGTGTGTGCCATGTCATGCCGTGCCTTACTCTGCAGCCGGTCTCATTTTGTCTTTGTCGTTTCCTCGTTCCTGTCTGGACTGCGAATGTAGGTGTTGTTGCCACAGCCTTACCTTTTATAGAAGTAAAATTTCCCAGTTGTTCACGATTCTTTCTCTTCTACCTCATGTGGATTAATTGCATTGTGACTTCTGGACTTAGGGAACAGAGTGCTTGATGTTTTATTTTTTTCCCCCCTCTGGAAACATCATCAAATCACTGTCGAGCTCTTTTTTTTTTATATATATTATACTCATGTTGTCTGTGACGTTTGGGCAGAAACATTGTGGAAACACACAGAAAACTGTCACCTGTTACCTTGTCCACCTCCCTCAAAGCCTGCACACACACACACACACACACACACACACACACACACACACACACACACACACTTATTCATCAGTGATGTTAATAGTTGGAGTGGAGAGCAAGGTGTCTCAGGGGGCCTGTGCGTGTGTGCGTGCGCGCGCGTGCACATGCTCGGCTGAGTGTTCAAGAAGAGTGCGACCGAAAGCGATGCATTCCAGATGTTTTAGAAATGAGGTGGGTTTCACTGGAACGTAACACATTCCCAGGGATGTTTGCGGAAAGAAATTCTTCCTCATCTGTCGAGCATGTTCTGCACCCCCACCTCCTTCCCCCACCACCACCCCCCCACCCAGGAGGGTATGCATCTAGTTTAGTCGTCTGTTTTCACTCCTCTCTGTCTCTTAATGGGGCTTTCGTCAATTAAACCCTCAACCCTGCATGTGTGTGTGTGTGTGTGTGTGTGTGTCCCTTGTGCAGCTGTAAACACCACGCATAAGTACATGTTGGTGTGTGAAGCTGGTGATTTGCGTATTTAATTTTGTCGACACGTCTCTTTAGAAGTTTCGTCCTCCTCCCGTTTCCTTGTGGGCAAAAACTGCTCCAGCTCAGGCCTAAAGTGATTCAGGGTGATATTTGAAATGGTGTGGTTGTGTGTCTGAGTATGTGTGGCATGGGATGGGGGGTGGGTAAGATGAATAGGCAATGGGTGCATATTGAATGGCTTAAGCTGCAGTCTGCCACTGTGGGTGTGCCTTTGTCTATTTGTGTTAGCAAAGTAAAGTCTGAGCACTCTCACCTGCACACGAGGGGAGTGCACCAAGCCAGAGAAAAGGCACATAAAAAACCAGCTAGGACTGCGACTGATGATTGTTTTAATCATTGATTAATCTTTTAGTCGGATATATAAAACATCAGAAAATGGTGGAAAAGTCCAAAGTGACATCTTTACATCGTTGACTTGGTCCAAACATCAGCCCAAAGTCCAAGGACATTCAGTTTGCTCCAACACAAGAAAAGAAAAACAACAGAAGCTGAAACCACGAGAATATTTTGAGAGTTACCTGCTTAGTGATTAATCAATTACCAAAGTACTTTCCAATTGTTTTTCTGTTAATTGATTAATTGACTTATTGTTTCACCTGCAAATCCAGCCCTGGAGCTGGTCGGGACATATGGCAGCATGGCGCCTTTCATATTGCAGCTGACATCTTTAGACCAGTCGGCTATTACATTACAACAAAACTAGGACCGTATGTCAACATTGTGGATGGATGGGAACAATTTAGGGTAAATTAATGGCTTTTCTTAAACAGTGCAACAGTGGTGTGTCATTCTAGTTCCAAAATATAGTCTTTAGTGCTCCAAAAAACTATTATTTTTCACTATTGATTAATCTGCTGTGTATTTTTTCAATTAATCTTTTTGTTTGGTCCATAAAATGCCAGATGGTCAATAATGATGCCAATAATGAAAAATACACATTATAATTCCCCACATATGCAATATTAAGTCCACTATCATGTGATGTGTGAGCATAAAATCCTCGAATTGTAGAAGCTTAAACCAGCAAATGTTTCTGCTTAAAAATAACTAAAGCAGCTAAAAAGTTAGATTCATTTTGATGGTTGCAGCTTTAGCAGCGTTCAATACGTATTCTTGTGCGATTACAAGCTGAATCATTGTATTTTTATTCTTGCGATCACCTTTTTAACAGTTAAAAGACACAAACATTTAAACTTTAATTTAATCAGGCAGTCACATTGAGATTGAGATCTAATTTAAAAGTCAGAATAGGGGAAAAAAACAACTTAATTTTAATAAATTTGATATTAAATATTATAATTGAAGTAATGCAGAAATAAAACAAATAAAAAAAAATACTGTAAGGTGATATCGAGACCGTACATGTTTGGATTTCTGGCTTCTCCCGCACTGAAAATCTTAAACTAACTCGAGATGACTCCTGATTCTCTCCAGTCGATTCTCAACGTATGTGCACAGGAGGTTTCGAGTTTCCACTCCACACTTTGTCAAGTTGCGTATCGGATCACCACTGGTTTCCCAAACTTGTGTAATGTCACAAAGTCATGCTGCTACAGTACGTACACGTCTTAACCCTCGGGTTTAAAGTAAGCCCAGACTTTCTCCCTCTTCGGCAGTTCAACGTGAGATCAGCCTCGTAGCATCAAGCTCTGCACATACATCGCTCCGCAGAGTGAAACTCAAACATCCGAGTGAAGTGATAATGAGCGAAACACACTTTTGATTGGAGTGAGACTTTCAACCGTATCACATCAATGTCTTTGAAGCAGTGAAGCTTTTTATTTTTAGCACAGTTTCTTTAAGATGACTGATGTGAAAAATATGAACTGCTCTCTCACTGCTGTGGGTTTTTATTTTTCCAAATATATTAATCTTGTCTCATCCTTATCCAACCCAATACCAGATCAGTATTCAGACCAATTAGTGTCTGTTCCTCAGCAAAGCCTATCACAGAAACAAGCTCAGCCGAAACTGTATTTCCATGTGCCTGACTCACTGGCTGTAACTCCAGACGCCCAGGTGGTTACTGAACTTCCATCCACACATATACAGGAGGGAGGGTGTAAGTGGCTCTGCCTCATCACCTCAGCAACCGCCTCCATGGCTCCTGGAGTAGATCAACAAGATCAAGCCTCTCTGCTTCAGGCAGGCTGCTTTGTGAAGGAGAGCGAGAGACAAAACATCACCTCCTCTAAGCTGAGAGGCTGAATGTTGTATCGACGAATAAACAGTGACATGTTTTTGTAATCTAATGATACAACTAATACAAGTCTTAATTGCTCTAAAGCTTCGGTTTTTAACGTGCAGCTAAGGATTTGCTTCCTCTGCTGTTGCTGACAAGGTGTCTTGGCGTACACTGTTGGCATTCTGCGCTATAGAAATGCAATCTAATTGTAGGCAAGTGATGGTTTGTGTAGTCTATACCAAAGTTAGTCTGTGTGTGACTCAGACCTGTGATGCAGTTGTTCTCTGCAGTGTTTTCTTACTTCAATCCTGAACTAGACAAATCATTTCCTGCTTGCCCACCCATGCACATTCCTGCCACTTTTCTAACATATGCGTCTGAAGTAAAAACATAAAACTTAAAAGTAAGTAAATGAGCCGTTTCAGACGGCCGTGCTGCTCGTCAGCAGGATTGTTAACCTCCTAACTCTGATTTTACTATTTGTGAATTCAGTGTTTATGTTAAATTAACCCTTGACTCTTACTCTTTTTCAGTCCTCTGTGCCAAAAACCTGGTGAAGAAGGACTTCTTCCGTAAGTACCTGCCAATCACAGCTGTTTATGATAAACCTGTCTGTTCTTTTCACACCCTGTTTTCCCTCCTGGTTTTGTGGATATATGCTGCGTTCACTGTACAGACCTCTCGAGACTGAGAAATGTGGTGCCCTTTGCTGTTAGCTGTCAACAACACAATAGGATCCACTTACACAGCCATTTCAGCAGATGTGGATGGTTTACTACACATGTCCTTGGTAGAAGGAGAGTGTTGTCTACATTGTGCTCTAAACACAAAAATGTGGACTGAAGCGTGAGCCCTGACATACTGTGTCTGATACACTGCATACTTTTCCACAACCACTTGGCATAAAACAGCCGGTTCATTTAGTCCTCTAAAGACTTAATAAGTCGTGTGTAGGTGTCTGCGGTGCTGTGAGTGTTTTGGTGTGTTTGGGTCGGGCTGTCATGGTGAATGAGCATGTAAAGGTCTTCTGCTCACTCAGGTGATTTCTGTGGTGCCCATTCCTGCCATTCCAACGCTCAGGAGCTGAGCAAACATTCAGTCAGGGAGCTGGTGCAGAGCAGCACTGAAACCACAGATAAAACTTGTCTGTTGATGCATTTGTGTCCGTTAGTGTTCGTTCTCCAACCACATCCACTTATTTGCAGCGAGGTTAATTTGCATTATCATTATTCTCTCTCTCTCTCTCTCTCTCTCTCTGCTTTGAGGAGAAGTGAATCATGTTGTGCACAAAATGTTGGAAATAAAAACAGATGTCCATCACAAATCATCAGAAGCCAAAGTCTTTCTGCACTTTGTTTTTAATAATGTAAAACAGGGACTAGAGAGCAGCTTTGCGCAACACACCCAACACATATGTTGCAACCAGCAAAGGTTTTATATTTCTCCTGATAACTGCTATTGATCATCTAACTTGGAATTGCCATATTGCAAAAGGACCTCATTTGACATCAAAAGACAAACATTTTGTGGACGTAAATAATGAGTAATCTGTGACGATGTCTGGAAACGAGCGCTGTAAACACCGCAGCATCTGTGTCAGCTGTATTTATCCCCATCTGCCGCGTAGCAATCGAACACTGCTGTGAAACGTTGTCATGTGTGTGTCATCAAACAGTTTGTTATCTGATATTTATTCTTGGTCAGAGTGGCTGAGTGTACGGTGTCGCTGTGTTCTCTTCTCTCTCTGCAGGCCTCCCCGATCCCTTTGCCAAGGTGGTTGTGGACGGCTCGGGGCAATGCCACTCTACAGACACTGTGAGGAACACACTTGACCCCAAGTGGAATCAACACTACGACCTGTGAGTCAGAGCTTTTATTTTTTATTTTTTATTTTTTTCATCGCACTTCACACAGTCATTTCTTGCATCTGTTTTTAGAGAGAGAGAGAGAGAGAGAGAGAGAGAAAAAAAAATTAGATTCCTTCTCGGTTTATTTGAATACCTCCCACCTAACTAAAGACTTAATCTGATTACAAACAGCAGTTTGAGGCAATACTTGTGCTGTTACAATGCCTCACAATTTTTTACGTCTTTCTTTATTTAACCTTGATAAGTGAGCACACTGAGACGTGTCGAGCCAGTGCCATTAACGGGACCTGAACAGTAACAGATGTAAACAGCCGTTGCATCTGGCCTCTCACTTATCTAGATTCTCTGTAATGACATAACCCTGCAGCGCCAGCAAACAGTCTAAAAATGTCCCTTGGAACAGTATTTAAAGCGCCGAAAAGGAGCGGAGTCTCCAATAGTATTTTCTTCCATTGACTGAAACACGTGCATGTCTTGTTGCACCCTGATTGCCTTTTTCCCAAAGATGGTTCGTCCTGTGAAAGTAACCTGGAAAAAAATAGAGACGGAGCGCGTGAGTGAAAATGTGAGAGTGAAAGTTTCCAGTATTCGCCCGGTGTTTATCCAAACCGTCATGCGTAGCCAACAGCAAGAGGAAGCACATGTCTCCGTTTGTTTGGTTGCCGGGGATACAGGACCCTCTCTCTACATGGCTGTTAAATTAGCTGCTCATGTCACATTTGACAAGAGGGAAAAAGTCACGCGCACGTACGCACACCTTAAAGATAAATAGATGGAGGGGAGAACACAGACTCGTGGCCTCGGCGGAGCTTCTCTGCACCGCTTCGTACCAGGAGCCTACGGACGTAGCTGCCTTGGGTTTATGCTGTACCCACTTTACTGTCTGCCGGTGTTTGTCCTCATGGCCGGCAGAAGGACTCTCAGACGGTGTGTTGGAGGAGACGGGTTTTAATTGACTGAGAGCAGCCTAGAAATCCGTCTGGCTGGCTCACACTTATTAAAATAGGGCCTGCAACACCTGGTGTTCCCGATACAGCCTAGTGCATTAAAGCTGTTGGCAGTGACTCTTTTTTTCCATTTGTTATATGTGCTCATGTGAGGGTGTAGAAATCCTGTTGAAGTGTGCCTGTTTATGTGTGTGTTTGTGTGTGTGTGTGTGTGTGTGTGTGTGTGTGCGCGCCCTCGGGCTTGGTTTCGTTGGTCAGCCGCAGCCAGCAAACTGGCCCGTGAACTGTGACCCTTCAGTTTTGCTGCAGGATGTGGCCGACATGCCAGGGATAGCAGACACAGTCGGTGTGGCTGCGTGCCACTGCGGCTCATTCTGCCTGCACCGAGTGTGTAAAACAGACAATGACTCAAGAACCACATGGAAACATCAAGGGAAAACGTTAGCATTACAGTCACTCCCGCTGAGGACAAGGACGCAAGTAATTATTGGTAACTTAACGATTTCTTTAAGAGGGTCTTCATCTCCTTACTGAGCGCCATGACGTTGTTTTCAAGTGAGTCTCCTGCCACTGCAAACTCACATTTGGTTAAACGGACGCCCTTCAGATTCAGCATTAATAAAAACTATATCTGCAATGTTAAGCATCCGGTCCAGACGACAATTATTTACACACACTCATCCATTCCTCCCAGTGTCTGAACTGATGGTGGACTGAATTTCTGTGCAAGCACCCGGTTAAACAGCATCACTATTAAAGGCTCTATTACATCCGCAGTATTACGATGTAGTATAAGTAAGGCTGGGGAGAAGGAAGAGCTTTAGTGCCACAGTGTAATAGAAGAATAAGAGATTCCCCTCATCTATATGTTTATCAGAGAACTGATCGGTTCCAGGGTGTTGTTGGTGTGTGTGTGTGTGTGTGTGTGTGTGTGAATTCTCACCGTGTATCACGTTAATTAACAAATATCCACCCTGGTGTACTTATAATGCTTTCGTTTCAAACTACAGTTAGTTTGAATCTTTCCAGAGCAGTGTCTCGAGATGAACTCAAGTAACCTTTCGTTGACATGTTCCAAATGTGTTCATTTTAAACTGGATGTTATTTCACCTTGTTGATTATATAAAAGCAGATATTGTAACAATAATTTTCTCATACCGTTGAAGTGATTTAAACATTAATTTTTGTTAAATCACGTTATTTCAACCAAACTGTTCAAACTTCTCTGTTCGCCTGCTGATTCATTTTCACACTTCCTGTTGTAGTGTTCAGGTCTTACAGCTGATTCAATATGTGGATTTTTTTAATAGCAAATTCCTTCTTTCTTTTTAAAATCACTCTAGCACCCCCACAGTCTTTCCACATACCTACTGCCTGGTGAAGTTGTATCTCCTGGAAGCACATTTAACCCTCACACCCTGACTTTACTTTACAGTGTTAAGTTTAGCTAACAGAGTCCGGTTCACAGGTGTAAGTCCACGTATTAAAACACCTGCCAACCTGCTGAGTGCAACAGCAAGGATCCAGTCCCAGGTTTTGAATCGTAGTAGTCCTCCTGCCCTTATTGTGTTGTTTGTATCTCAGATTGTTAGTGTTGCTGTAAGGCTTTTTCTTCTACTTTGACCATATGTTCCTGGCAGGAATTTGGTGCAGGAAAAAAAAAAAAAAAAGCTACTAAAAACAGTGCTCAGGATGCGTCTTGCATGAATACAGTCTGCCAAATAAAAGGATGTATTTAGAAAGCACATCTGCCTCTTTAAATCTGCTGGTTTTTCCTTTTTATTGCAATTTTCCCATTGTCTCTTATGTGTGTGTGTGTGTGTGTGTGTGTGTGTGTGTGTGTGTGTGTGTGTGTGTGTGTGTGTGTGTGTGTGTGTGTGTGTGATTGCCTGCAACTGGTATTAAAAATCTTAGCCAGACTAATGAATTTTATTACATGGAGGGTGATCCAGATGACTAGGGTTTGGTTATAATACTTCCCTCCCGTCACGTCTGTCTGACATAGCAGCTCTCTCACATCGCACCCCAGACAGGCATTTGGCATGGACTCAAAATGTCCAGACGTCTTACTCACAGCCCCATTGTTTCATATCCCTTTTAGTAAGCAGCATGATAATTACAGTGGGATGTAGTCCTGCCAATCGTACAGATGATTAGTTTTTGACTGAAGGAGGGAGCCCACCCGAGCAGATGTGCCACAACAGGTTCACATGGGTGAGACTTTATCACGTCCCGGTCTCGCCTGACGCAGGAGGAGAGGCCGAGACGACGGCGGGTATGAAATGTACAGGAGGAGACGGGTACACGCCGTCAGGAAATAATCTTGTCTGTTTTATTTAGCTGCCTGTCGTTGTCTGTCTGAATACGGTGTAATTACCTGATCAAGTTCTTTACTGGCACAGCAGGCAAAGGATTGTTCCTTTACCATTGTTGTTTTTGGCTAAGATAGTGGATTGGCTCTATGGATGGCAGATTGCCATGAAACCTGGTACAAACACTCATGGTCCCCCCTCAGGATGAACTGTAATAACTTTGATAATCCCTCAACTCTTCCTGCACAGCTTCAGTAATTTAGTTTAGGAGGCAAAACTCCCTCAATTTATATGAGTAATATTACAGCCCTCTACATTTGACAGTGTGATTGATGACTGTTCATACCTAATTACGTTTTCAATTAACAGATTTAATCAAGCTGGTCATTTTTACCTTTTTTTTTTTTTGTTTCTTTTGTTCCCATTTATTCTGAAAAGTTATTTTTACTTTTGTAAAAATGTTATGTTAATGAATTCAGCTCAAACCAAAAGGGGCTAGAGAACTGAAAGGTTGGTGTCAGCCTTATTTTTAAAAAAGCCAAAAGACAAATGTCGACTCTTTTCCTGCGATCTGAAACACAGTCACAGTTTACAGTATTTTCTCAGTTGTAGTAGGTAGTTTTTTTTTTTGTTTTTTTTTTGGCTGCTCATCCAGTCATTGTAATTAAAATTTTATCTCCTCTCTCTCTCTCTACTGTATCTCTGCTCCCTCCGTCCTCAGATAAATCACTTCTGCTGATATGTGCGGCGGGCTGCTGTGAATATTATAAATGATTCACAGGATCACAGTCTGCTTACGGTTTTCTGTCTCATACTCAGACGCTCAGGGTCAGATTTACTGGCTGGAAAATCCCGTTCTGCCTCCCCACCTTCCTCTTCCTCCTCCATGTCCTGACTGTGTCTTGTAATGCGTCCTTGGCGAGGTAGACTTGAGCGGTAGACTTGAGCGGTAGCCTCTGTGGCGGATGTGTGTCTCCCCTGCATTGCCGGGGACATCCTGAGCGAGACTCTTTGTCAACACGTGACGCGTTACATGTTGACATCACCACTACTTCTCTAGTAAAGTCCAACAGCTTTAGTTTAATGAGCAATTATGTTTCAAGGCGAAGATTATCACAGAAACTGAAGCTGAAACACAGACACTGTTCGTTAAAACCGGTCACATCGGTGATTCTCATGGTGTCGAGGGCAAAGCCTCTCAACGCTGAAAATTAATTATGTCTCCTTTCATTTATCCCCCTCAGATACATTGGAAAATCAGACTCCATCACCATCAGTGTGTGGAATCACAAGAAGATTCACAAGAAGCAAGGGGCCGGGTTCCTGGGCTGTGTCCGCCTTCTGTCCAACGCCATCAACCGCCTTAAAGACACAGGCTGTAAGTGTCAGACCGCGGCTCAGCTGCAGCATCCTGTCTACGCACAATCGCATTTTTAAGTTGATTTATTGCCATTGTTAATTTTACAAATCTCTGACCTCTACGTGACGCTGTCTGGTCTGTGTAAGACTGCGAGATGTACGCCTGAGGTGTTGCTAAGGTTTCCACAGAATATAAACTCGTACAGAAATGGATACTTAACGGCTAATATCATAAATATTTACATACGTTTACATTCAGTCTTTCTAAACAAAAGGCATTGTGGGTATTTTTGAGGTCTGAGAGCATTTCCTTCGTCACAAAACAGTTGCAAAGTTTGTTTTTAGATATTTTAAGTCAGTAAATCAGTAAATCAGTCTTCTTCTTCTTTGCCCTTATTGCAGCAGAATAGGGTGAAACCTGAGGCAGGACGTGAATCCCGCCACACGTGTTCCTGCATGTGTCCTCTCACGCGTGCATAAAACAAATAAAACAAAGGACACACTCATAAAACCATCACTCCATCCTGCTACCAGTGGTCCAGAGCTCCACAGGTTACCATTTTTAAAAGCTTTTAGCGCAGTCGAGGTCCTCGTAGAAGAACCGGGGTTAGTGGTAAATATCAGTATACTCTATATATAGTGTGATTTTATTAGAAATAAAAACAGACACAAATTTGTTGGTGCTGTTTTACTCCAAAATTATTGTCTTATAGCTCAGTGCAGGATGCAGGCAGCTGTAATGCAGTGACTCTGTTTTTCCAGATCGGCTTATTCTGACATTATTAAATTGTAGCACAGATCTTTTTGCCAAACTCTTCGTGACTTGTGTTTTACTTTTTTTTTTTTTTTAGCTATTTACGTGTCGTTCTCATTCACTCAGTTCATTACTCTGTACCGGGGAGCAGAATAACTTCTGAATTGCTTATCGCAATTATCCATGAAACGTCAATCGTTGGTACCGAATGATCCGATTGCCGGAGCCCTAATGGTAAAAAATGAGGCCGCATCCATCAAGGCAGTCCTTGTACCTGTAGTGTGATAAGAAGCAGAGGTTAATATCCCGGTGCTGCTGTCAGGGCTAAGTGACTGAACATAGAGTAGCTCCTTTTAATGTCCTGTCTGCCTCACTAGGGCTGACAGAGGCCAGACCAGGGTGTGAGAGGGGTCAACACTCTGCCCCTGCCAGAACAGGAAGAGCCAATCAACATCACCCTGCAATTACAGTAAAAATGTCTCATGTCAGAAGCTAACTGGATAAATGAGATACAGGCTTTAGCAAATGGCTCCTAGTAAAAGCAGTGCCAGACAGTTGTAGCTTCAACAAAGCGGTCTGGAGTGATTTTTTATTTTTTTTTCTGCGTGGTGAGCCGGTACCTGCTCGCCGGGCCCGCGGCCTCGTAGGCATGAACGGGAAAGAATCCCACCGGTTTTTCCTAGAAGCCCCCTGACACTGTTGTTTTCCTGGAGCGACACAGGAAACCTGAACCCTGTGCCACAGCTGTGAGTGGTTTGCCTCTGCATTTCCTTTCTCCTCCTGGCCTCCTCCTCACCCCTGCGTCTCAGCGTCGGTCTCCTACATAGACTGGCAGCGTGTGCACACACGTACATAAACACAAAATGCCGTTGTGACTAACCTCCCTCTATCTCTGTCTGCCGATCTAGACAACCGGTCATTTCACGCAGACATGCATAATTGTACAGCTATTTAAGTGTAAGCGTAGATTTTGTTGTGTTCTCTCTGTTGTGGTCTCTCCCCCTCCGTGTATTTGTCATTCTTTTGTGTTTTGTGCGCCTTTACCAGCAGTGTGAGTGTTGTCCCCCTCCGCAGGCCTTAGTGAGGGCACAGGGCTGACTGGGAAACATTTGTGTATAATTGCAGAGTGTCTTTGGTTGACTGTAATGTTTATATATAATTGCAGAGTGTCTGCGTTTTCTCGTCTTTGTGTATATGACTGCACAAGTATTTAAATGTATATACTTTTATACATCTCCAATGTGTGAGTGCACTTTTCTGCGTACGTTTTTTTTTTTACTGCCTGTGGGTGTGTGTGTGTGTGTGTGTGTGTGTGTGTTTTCTCTGCGGCTGCTGACCTCTGGCCAGCCTTGTAACGGTTTGACCATTGCCTGTTTTGGTCCCTGTTTAGTCTAGACAGACATCCTGAGCTGATCTGCATGACACCCAGACAACAGAGAGCAGATAGTGGCATTTCTCATGTCTGCAGGCAACTTGGACATTTTTTTTTTTTTTTTTTTTTTTTTTTTAGGTCTGTTTTTTTTTTTTTCTTTCTTTCCGCCTGATCTCTCTCTTTCTCCCTCACTCTCAAATTCCACAGACTTTAAGAAGTTCAGACAAAGAGTTTCCAGACTTTGGCAGAAGTTCATGTCCATGCTAAGACTGAGCGGAATAGTGCAGGCTTTGTACTGAAATTTGTCAAATGTTTGACCTCTGCATTTGAACTGAAGCCTGCTCTGTACCGATGCTCAGTGAGATTTTTACAGCCCGTGGCTGTTCCACAGACCAGACCATCTGTTCCAGGGCAAAGCCAAGCTGTGGTCTGCAGACAGAAGAATGAGAGACGGATAATGAGGGAGAGAGGAATTGACTCTGAGTGATGTAAATGATACACAGCAATGGGATTTGTCCATCGAGGAAAAAATACATCCCATCAGATGCTAGTTTACATGCATCTCTCAGAAACTAATGAATCCTCTCTTCTCTTTCTTTTCGTCCCCACTTCTCCTTCTTTCATCTTTATTCTCATTTCCTGTTTGTCTAATTGTGTTCTTTCTCTTTCTCTTTCCCCCTGCCTTTGCTTCTGCTCTCTCTCTCTCTCTCTCTCTGTCTCCACTTCTTCTTTCCATCCTCTCCTAAACAGACCAGAGACTAGACTTGAACAAGCTGAGTCCCAATGACAGTGACACAGTCAGAGGCCAGATAGTGGGTGAGTAATCAAAATGTAATCAAATGGAAGTTGCATTAAAAAAAGAAATCAGCATGTTGTCCTTCATTAACTGTGTGTTGAATAATCATGAAAGGTGGAATATGAACCCCTCATAGGCGGCATTTAAAGCAAAAGTTTAGAAGGAAGGTGATTTAAAGCTAATTTCTATATGATCCATGAAAATATTGAGTCATCCTTTTATTGCTTGACAGTTCTTGTAGTAATCATGGAGCTTGTAACGACCCTCCGTGTTCTCCTCTGTTTCTTGCACGCTGATGTATAGAATATATTTGTGAAAAATACCCTCGAGGATTTTCTTTAATGTTATTATGACGATATAAATGTGAAATATTTTGAGCTCTAGTCATTTCGATGGTTTTAAATGTCACATTTATCAGTATTTGTGTAAATTTTTAGGATTAAATTTCATAATGCCATAATTCCAGACTCTCCCCACAGAAAGGAAAAAATAAGAGTGGTAGAAGAAAAACGCTGCTTCCTTTTAACCAGTCGCTGCAGTACACCACTGATAAAACTTAACCTTATTCCTGTAACTCATAAAGATATATAGCTCAATTTTGTGCTTCGATAAAATATCTGTGCCTGCGCTGTAATCTGCTGTCTAGTAATCCTAGTGTGTGCATCTGTCTGCCATGTGTTGCTGCAGTGAGCCTGCAGTCTAGGGACCGGATAGGCACAGGAGGCCCTGTGGTGGACTGCAGTCGCCTGTTTGACAATGATCTTCCAGATGGGTGAGCGAGTTGGGGGAAATCTCTTATCATCATAGGAGGATTTTTTTAGAGGCCTTTGCAAATCCTAACACAAAAAAAAAAAAAAAAAAAAGAAACGTTGCCTTCACGTACAGGGGTAAAGATATACAGAATATAAGATTTGCATGTGGTGAGACAGCAGCGAGACTACTAGATGGTTCTGTGGCTACTTAACCATGTCCGCTCACTGCTGCGTCTGTGTGTGTTTCTGCTGCCAGCTGGGAGGAGAGGAGGACCGCGTCTGGACGAATCCAGTACTTGAACCACATCACACGCACCACACAGTGGGAGAGGCCTACCAGGTGAGTACACTCTGCAGCCCACAGAAACTCAAACCCAGACCTCTTAAATCTAACAGCAACAGGCCGATGGAAGACCTCATCTCTGACCTCAGTGCTCCCAAACTGGGGGACTCTGTCCAAAACTGGAGTGGGCTCCTTGAGAGAGAGAAAAAAAATAAATAAAAAAAAAGGTGTCAGACACAATGCTCCAGTCAGTGGTGTTTAATGATGTGGAGGAGCCAGGGAAGTTACAGAGCTGACAAGAGTGGAAATTACGGCGTCTCCTCCCTGCTCTGTCTCCGACTTTTTGTACTTCTGTTCCGTTTTACTGTCTTTATCAGCCACTTTCCTTTTTTTTTTATTATTTTTTTTATTTCTCAGCTCTTACCACGCTTTACCTCAGGCAGTCTCAGTACTTACTCAGTGAGTCTGTTTGTGTGCTGCCTTGCATGGATTTCCTAGTTAGTGCAAAAGACTTTCTAAATGGTGCCTATTGATTTGTTGCCGTTTGTGTTCGGGGCGATGTCGTCCTCATTTTCTTTCCTCTTACACTTTATTTTCTGTCTTTTATTTCTTACACTGATTAACCACTACTTAACCTTTTCAATTTGGTTCTTTTCTTGTCTCCCCATCACCCTCCTCCTCTTCCTCCCCCCTTCCCCGTTTGCTCCTCTCAGGCCTGCATCAGAGTACTCCAGCCCTGGCCGGCCTCTCAGCTGCATCGTGGATGAGAACACGCCCATCAGTACGAACGGGGCCACGCCCACCACGGCGTTGCCACCCAGTGACGGCGACCAGCGGGCCCAGGAGAGACGGGTCCGCTCGCAAAGGCACCGCAACTACATGAGCAGAACCCACCTGCACACGCCCCCGGACCTGCCTGAGGGCTACGGTTAGTTACCGCGGGGGCTGTTGTGCTGTTTGCCTTCCAGCTGGGAAAATATAAACCTTACGGAAAATGCATCGTCACGACCTTGTTGCTTCTTCCTTTTTTTTTCTTTCTTTTTTTTAAAGTAGTTAAAATAGTTCAAGGTTGGTGTAGTGTATGCCACTCGTATGTGTCTGGATATATATATTGTCAAAAATGAGCAGATCATAAACCACAACACTGGTAACTGATGATGGAAATGGAAACACACACACACACACACACATCCACTGGAAACACACTGGATGACACACTATACCAGAGATTCCAACAACAGTGCTTGCAGTTCCCCGGTGGTATGTGGAAAAACTGTGGGAAAAAAGTTACTGTAACTAATATCCACTTTTATATAATTACTAGTGTTAAATAACATCCAGTTTAAAACCAGCTCAAAGGAACGCATTCGGGACATGACTGAGGGTGTCGAGCTCATCTGTCAGGGCTGTTGGGTGCACGTCTTTTTAAAAGAGGTTGGAAAACACCTGATACGACGTGTTGACTCCAGCTTTCTGATGCGACGGATACATATTGAATATCCTGATTACATCAGAACATGCTGTTTTTTGTTTTCATGCCCCATCAAAGGCCGTTTCCATTTCCACTTCCACTGAGAGTCGTGTCATCGTCGTTATGTCGTTGTCTTAATTTTTTTTTTTTTTTTTCTTCTCGCCTCTGCCCTCCTCCCTGCTCAACACTGGGCTCAGTAACCCGGCTAATCTGTGTCCTCATTCAGTCCAGCTGCTCTGATGACGCTGCAGCTCCACACAAGGAGCCTGAAATACTGGCTCCATTTTAGACAATCTAATTGAATTGATCTAGTTGTTAAAGGCTGGCGGCAGCCGTTCACTCCCCCCCCCCCCCCCCCCCCCCCCTCTCGCTCTGTTCTCCTCTCTGCACACAGTCAAACAATCAGACGCATTCATGTAAAAGCAAACACACACACACAGTCACACAAACTGCGATCCCCACACAGCCCTAGGGAGTTTTGTTTATCCTCACAGTGAAATCTTGTGGAGGATTTGGGAGCCAGAGCCATAGAAGCGTATCACAGCTTTGCCCTCAGTCCCACAGATTAGGCTGCTCCGAGCCGCACCACGCTAGTCTCTCCATAACTCTTGCTCTCTCTATCTCTGCCTCACTTTCTCACTGCTTGGGCAGTTCCTGTGAAAACCTGTCAGCAGATTTGATTCTCCTCATGTGAGCGCGCACACACACACACGAGCCAAGAGACGTCACCCCCGTGTGGTGAACGTATAGCGTGCACTCGTCGCGTGGGTGGGGGTTTTGGAAGGTTGTGTGTACATGCATGTTAAAGCAGGGCGGTAGGTCCAAAGAGATGCCAGAGAAGAGCTCTCTGGCAGGCAGCTCCATGGAAATATCTCTGTCAGCCCGTGATGAATGAGCTCACCAACTCAAAAGTCAGACAACCCCGTCTCTCCTCTTCTTTCCTCTCCAATGTTCTTCACCCTGTCTCTCACCTCCTCCTCCCCCCCGTCCCCTCACTCCCTCCTCTGCCTCTTCCTGGCTGCCTTTTGGGATCTCCACTGACTCAGGCAGTCCTTTTATCTCCATCTGTGTGATCTCTCTCTTACCCAGACAGATTATAAGCACAACCTGTCTATATGTGGCACATGAATTAAACTCGGTTTCATTTTGCGTATATGTTAAACATTTGACTTACACCTGATGCCCAGGTTTATTCATTTTTTTAAAAACCTATTCACACTAAGGATCCACAAATCTTGCATCGATTAACCTCCTTTTTATATCTTTATACAGAGCAAAGGACCACACAGCAGGGCCAAGTGTACTTCCTCCACACTCAGACAGGTGTCAGCACGTGGCACGACCCCCGAGTACCCAGGTACGTCTGCCGCAGAATCTACGACCTCCGGGAAACGACACAACATCACGCTCCTCTGTTATCGCTTTTTTATTGTTTTGCTCTTTTTCACTATCCCTCAATATAACACTGCAAGATACGGCACATAAACCGCAAGAGTAATAAAATTCATGAATGAGGAAATGGGGTGTGGGTCTCCACAGATGCCTAAATCAGTCAACTTAAACACTGCAGCAGATTATGAGTCTGACATGCTGTGAGAAGACCCATGTCACGGGGCTCGGGGAGGGATTCAGTCGTCTGGCACGAGCCCCTGAAAGGCCTCACTTTTGGGGACACATGGCCAACAGCACACAGGTCTCAGTCAGCCGTACCAGAGGCTGTTGGGCAATCCTCGCTCAGGCATGTGTGTCCTATTGATTACCGTATTCCAAAAGAAACGCACACGCAAGGAGATCTCAATGTGCATGTGCAAAAACAGCAACCCAGTGCACTCCAGACGCTATCAATAAAACATGACTGCTATTATAATACCTGGCCGCTGCTCGCTCGCATTCTATCAGTACATGAGTGATAGATGATATTTTTATTGCTCTTGATAGGAGGCTATTGGTCACGCCACACCTTACTGAGTGCTCCTCAGACAGCTCCAACATTAGCAGATGGCTTAGCTGCCAAGCTCTCTCATCCCTCGTGAGGCTGCGGTCCCTTTTGGCTTTAACCATGCAAAACAGAAAAGTCAGCGCCAGCATAGTGAGCCTGCTTTAATTTCCAGTCCAGCTGAAAGGGGTTGCAGGGCAGCAGTAAATAATTTAGATGGGAGGAAGAAGAAAAATAGAATAAAAGTGATTTCTCAGGCATCTCGGACTCCTGCTGTCCGCCTGAGTCCAGTTCGTCAGTGCTTTGGTATGTTTTATATCTAGAATTTGATGTGTGCGTGCTTTGTCTCTCTTCTCTCCTGTCCCACCCTACGTTGCTTCTATTTTCCCTCAGTTTTCGCGCACTAATGCTTTGTTGTGGTGTTGTGTTCTCCTCTGTTGCACCTCAGAGATCTGAGCAATGTGAACTGTGAGGAGCTGGGTCCTCTACCTCCAGGATGGGAGATAAGGAACACTGCCACCGGGAGGGTTTACTTTGTCGACCACAACAACCGCACCACGCAGTTCACAGACCCACGCCTCTCTGCCAACCTGCATCTAGTCCTAAAGTGAGTTCGACAGCGCCCTTGAGCCAGAGAAATGAGATAGTGAAATAATTTAGATGGTACATAAAAAAAAACTGGGTATAAAAGCAGAGAGATTTATTTTCTGTCTTTGTTTTGTCTTTGTTTCGTGTCTGTAGTCCAAGCCCTAATGGTTCTCGAGGAGGCATCGAAAGTCAGAATGTCAGGTAAGGTTTGGGCTCGTCGCCAGTAGTCCTCACTGCACGCAGACGGGAACACACACACACACACACACACACACTCAGACATTCACAGACTTACTCACGTTGCCTCCCCCTCAGTCAATGTTTTACAGTGGGATCCCGTGCCAAGGTGTGTTCACCACCTGTAGAGGTTCAGCGCTCAAGAGTAGCGCTTGTGCTGAGCAGACGTTCGTGCGTACACACACACACACACACACACACACACGTACAGGAATACATAAACAGCACACTCCTCCACAGTCTTTCTTTCCACACAAAAAAATTCAAATTCCTCAGCTCCACAGAGGTTTTGATCATAAAGGCGTTTTAGCACACAATCCGTCACAAAGCTGGCTTTGGCCAGACATCAGATAGCAGAGTGGAAACCAAGGCTGCTGTGTCTGTAGCTGAGGAGCGTCTCACGTCCAGGAAACGGAGCATAAATTTGATGCCCAAGTCAATGAATGAACCGTGTGTGTCTGTGTGTGTGTGTGTGTGTGTGTATGTGCGCGTACATGCCTGTGTGCATGGATGCACATGTTGAGAATTTCTTCCTCTGTGCAGCTGTTCAAACACATACTATGCTACGATAGCCATAGAATTACCCATAGGCCTTTGCTGCACAAAGGTGGAGCAGTGTACGGGTGCCTTGGTGGGCCTCCTCCGCCTGACCTCATTCCTCCTCCGTGCAGAGAGAGAGAGAGAGAGAGAGAGAGAGAGAGAGAGAGAGAGAGAGACGGAATGCATCGACGGAGAGATCAGGTTTCTTTTTTTCCTGTTCTGATGGATCAAAGAACGTGTTTGGGATTTCGTATTCGCTTTGCTTTTTTTCATCTACGGCTGTCTGAAAGGTCCTATAAAAAAAAATGTAGCCTGGCACGCCACATTTGTTTTTAATGTAGGCATTTTTTGTCATGAGCATGATTATGCCCAGATGTGTGAAAATCTCATGCATAGAATTTCTATTGTATATGTGCTCTGGTAGGATAATAAGTGGTGGGGTAATTACTTCACATCAAAAACCAGGAAATGTGTAATTTATTTAGAGGTAATAACACAGGAATTATTTTATACAGAGAAAAATATTAGCGTGTCTGTAAGTGCGCGTGTGTTTAGTGCTGTGTAGTTGTCATCGGGCACATTTGCACATTTTTTTGTTATGTGGCTTTATTGTGAAGTCAAAAGTTAAATAATATGACATTTTAGATTTGAGTTGTGGAGTGCCGTACATCTCCTGGTTATTCAAGGACACATGGACCTTGGCCAGAGATTTGTGAAATAACTTCTTTATAAATTGTGCGTGACTGAGGTTTAACTTAAGCCTTCCTCAATCCATTCTAATTACATGAAAAGTGTAATAGATGATCTTTTTTTTTTTTTTTTTGGGTACAGTTTCTGTCCTAAGTGAAAGCTGTTCTATTACTGCAAAAAAGAAAAGACTTTGGAGTGACTTTTTTTTTTTTCGCTTGTGACAAAACTCTGGAAAAGATATCAGTCGTCATGGATTTCCATCAAGACATCTGCCTTTTATCAAGTCAGGGATTTTAGAAATTCTCGCCCCTCGTGCCGTCATTCCACAAGAATGTTTGATATATATATATGTATGTATATTTATGTATGTCCATCAAAGTTAAAGTTTATTGGCCTTTTTTATTTGCTCAAGACATTGCCTAAGCATCCACAGCACGGCTTTGGTTATATTTCCTCTATGATTTTGCAATCTTCTGCTGAATCCAAGCTCCCTGACTGGTCAAGGTCACTGTTCAATAGGTAACCGAATCCGTGGCCGGTTTAAAGACCCGGCTGCAGGACTGTCCTGCGTACAGTTGCATGAGAAGTAACTGTGTCATTTCCCAGACCGTCAGTGGTTTGTCTCGGAGCGAAAACACTGCATTTTATTACCGTGAGTTGTCTCTGCAGAGAGCGACTTCAGGTAACATGCACCGGAGTCGTGCTCATCAGTGAAGAGCTGTAAAGAGAGGAGAGAACTGTGGATCATGTTTGCCTGCAACCATGATGGAAAGAGCTGGAGACACGGAGCAGGAATGTTTGATTTATGGGTGAAAGTGCAGGAAGAGATGCTCCGTGCCCTCCTTTCTCCTTCCTTCCCTCCCTCCCTCCCACCCACCCTCCCTCTGAGCTGTCTACAGTGTTTGGGTGCTGTCGGGAGAGTGCCCTTCCTGCCTCCCCTCTCCCTCTCTCGCCTTCCCTCCCTCTGAGTCTAGTCTGCAGGAAATAAAGGGATTCATGAGGAGGTCTCGAGTGTCCTATGGGGCCCTGTGGCTTTCTGGGATAGCAGGAAGTGATTGAGTTTGGTTTCTGGTGTCTGCCCAGCAGAATCCACTTTGGCTCTTCAGTCACTTTGTTAAGATGAAGTTGTCATTGCGGTTAGTGGAAAATGCAAGCTGTTGGGCGGATACTTTAGAGTAGGAGTCTGGAGCTAAATGAACGTCTGACGTGAAGTGATCTGACATGAAGTGATCTGGCTGACAGTCGAGGTTCCTCCTCTGTTTGTTTACTGCAGTGGTTTGATGTAATTACCTACGAAAGAGTCAGAATGATTGAAACTGTTTACTTTAACCTTGGCATCACTTTGAGTCTTACTTCCTATGTATACATCCGTGCTACATGAACACAGACTGACATGTGTATGCTCCCGCCACCCTCTGTGCTCGGCTCTACAGTCTGGTGTTTATGACCCTGCTCAAGGCCGAGTGTGCCTGCTACCCCCCACTGAAGTGCAAAAGGCCATTGTGCAAATAATCCTTTAGTGCTGGCCCCATAAAGGCTCCTTTGATTCTGTGCGCGCGTGTGTGTGTGTGTGTGTGTGTGTGTGTTGTGTGCCCCCTCCCTACTGTGCCACCCTCAGAGGCTGTCTTCCCAAACACAGCGCCCAGTTCAAAGTGGTATTCGCCATCCAGTGGCCTGCGCCAGAGTCGAGACCTCTGTCATCATTACCCACAGATACAGACGGTTCACAGCCGCACTGTTTACACTTCTTTGCTACTGTTTACGAATGTTGCATCAAATGCTACTTTCTTTTTTGCTCTTTTGTCTTTAACACATTGGCTTTAGAGTGAAAAGACAACTATGAGGAATTATTTGAAAGCCAGCAGCAAAGTTTTAAATCAGTTGAGATTAAACTTTTGTACATTCAGGCTTCACTGCTCTACAAAGGCAGAGAGCAGTAACTACAGAAGCAGTGAAATAGAGGAAAAAAAAACTAAGTTTTCAGGCAAGCTCTTTTTATATACAGTCTCTGGGCAAACCATAAAAAATGCAGATGCTGCACTCTGCCTCTTCAGGGGGAAAAACAACTACAAACAAAATGTGTGTTTCACCTTTTTCTTGTCTTGGATTAAACGTGTCTTGTTTGTGTCTGTTCGACTATTAGTTTACAGTAACAACAATAACAAAACATCAAACCGAACATTGAATTAATTAGGTTAACCACATGAATTCCACTTAAGTCTGAAGCTAAGCTGGCAGCTACTGATGTTCTGCTAAACTAGTTAGCTTTAGCAGGTGTTTAGGTAAGTTTTTAAAGTTTTTTTTCTTTATCCATCATGATAGCATTTAGCTGCTGCCTCATTAGTTTTGTAGAACAACAAACTAAATTAGAAACATACTGGTTCATCCAAATGGATAATTTTATTGGTTTACATCTAAATTAGTACATTTAGTTTTAGCTTTAGCTAAGGCTAGCCATAGCTACCTCCTATCCCCAGCTAGCTTTCACTTGATATAGCACATAAATTATACATTTATATGGTAAAATAGGTGATAAATCCTGTCTCGACTAAATTTTGACAAAATATTTATTTCCTGCATCTTAACTTTGTAGGCAGGTACATGTTATGACTTTCTGTCGGCCACAGTGTCTGCAGTGTTCTTCCTCTCTCCGCCTCTCAAACTTTTAGACTCGACAAAATGAACCAGTACGCCTCTGCGAGGTGGCCTCAGTGACCCTGCGTTACCACAAGTGGTACACGATGATTCAAAAGCAACAGAGATCTGCAGAACTTTCTTTCCCTCTGTCACATTGCGCCCCCCCCCCCCCAAACTTATTTTAGTTCAGCCATCTCTCTCTGTGTGAGACCACCAGGCTTCTGCCAGGTAGAGAGGAGGAGAGAGGAAGCGGCGTACGTGTTTGTGTGTGTGTGTGTGTGAGGGGGTGGTGAGTGAGGGTGAGTGAGATGTCCTACCTCCCGTAATCCCACCTCCACCTATGTCTGTCTGTCTGCGAGGGGCCGTGGCAGCGGTTTGACTTGATGTGCTTCCCAGATGACCTCAGTGTGTTTACTTCTCGTTCTCTGCAGTCAGCAAAGGACAGAGAAAGAACTCTCACTCTCAGAAAGCTGTATTTTGAGTTTCTTGGCGTTGCTCTTGTTATTTTTGTACAAGTGCTTGCTTACTTTTTTCTCACCAGTAAGCATGTTTGCATTTTGTATTGGTACACCTAAGACTTACCATTTTTGTCTTTGATCTTGTCCCCCCTCTCTCTCTCTCTCTCTCTCTCTCTCTCTCTCTCTCTCTCTCTCTTTTTCTTGGCCTGTTTCTCTCTTGCTTTTTTCCCATGCCACTCCTTTCTCTACCTCCTCCTCCTCCTCCTCCTCCTGCTGCTGTCGTCTGCCCTCCAGTCGTCAGAACCAGTTGAAGGATCAGGCCCAGCAGGCTCTGGTGTCCCCCGGTCAGCTCCCAGAGGAGGCCGAGTGCCTCACGGTGCCCAAGTACAAGAGAGACCTTGTTCAGAAGCTCAAGATCCTCCGCCAGGAACTGTCTCAGCAGCAGCCTCAGGCCGGCCACTGCCGCATTGAGGTGTCCCGTGAGGAGATCTTTGAGGTGACGATGGAAAAAAACAAGCTCAGCCATGTTATCATATCATCATCTGAAGCTCACAAGGGGTTGCAAGTTATTAAAAGATACTCAGAAACAGATACATAATTTAACCCTGTGGGAATTTCAGTTGTCACAGCCTGAGGATGCGTGAAAAAAAAAAAAAAAAAAGCATAACAAAATGCTAGAAAAACACGACAGTGATGTAATATTTGCTCCATTGCACAACCACCAGCACTCTTTCCCCAAAACTGCAGCCAACACATTTACATTTGGCACCGTAAGAAAAGACACACCCTCCATTCTGTGTTAAAGTTATTTATAGACTCACCTAAGTTATGTTAAACATTCTCCGAGGGGTTTTTCTCTTCTTGTCTACCCCCATAAAGGTCATTGCCCATAACAGTTGGCTGTGAGAATGATTTCTCTCACACTCACACACACACACGCACACACACACACACATGGGTTATCTCTGAAGTGTGAAGGTAGTCTGTTCAAAATCTAAAGCAGACCTCTTGTTTGAGATGAGGATTTTCTCAAGTACATTTTCTCAGCGGGGGAGTTTTTCTTTTTTTCCTCCCTGCATCTAGGAGGTGCAGGGCCCTCATCAGAACAACACCACCTGCAACAGACTGCATGACCCTCATAAAATATGCACTGGAATGTGCTGGAACAGCCGCGTCTGTTAATCTGAACGAAGACATTTTTGTTGGCTGATCTCAATGTGAGAGAGAGAGAGAGAGAGAGAGAGGGGCGGGAGGGAGGGGGCAGAAGACGTCTTGAGGTTGAGCGAGACATAACTGCATAGCTTCTCCAGACCAGCTGAAGCATTAAATTATGACTGAATAGGCAAGTGTTAGCTGGTGGACTGTCAGAGCTGTCTTTATGTGTACTTTTCGGTGTAGATAAGACATTCCCATTTCTCCCACAGCACCTCTCAGTTGTCTGCTGTATCTGGAGGGCACAGTGGAACCTGGCTGTCGGAGAGGCTGTGTTATTATAGTCTTATGGCTATGTTTATTATAACTGCCCCTAATCCACTTTAAACGAACCCTCCCCCTGACGCTGTGAGCCGTCTGCACATGGGATGAACACCGATTGAGGCGGAGAGATCTCGGCTTCACAACAGAGAGCCTTTTGAAAGTGACTGCTGTAACGCCACACTGCATCTGTCTCATTTTTTATTTTATTTTTTTGTGCAGAGAACTCCCCACTACTTTTCTTTTTGTGCAGCTCTTAACTTCACTGCTTTTAGGACAGTCTCAACCTTTGGTCCACCAGTTGTCGTGTTTAAACGGGTGCCATAATGACATAAGTGTAGAGGGTGTGTGCATCACTGGAGTCTGGTCCCCTCTCATTGATACTTGCAAACTGACAGATAGTCTTCTCTGTAACTGTTTCTCTGCAGACGATCATGTAGAACCATAAAGCTCCAGCAGCTAGGAGGGCAAACACAGTGCAGCGGTGTAAACAGCTGCCTAACCGACGCTGTTACCGTCTTTTGACAAAGTTTGTTTGTGTCTGTGTTGCAGGAATCGTATCGACAGGTGATGAAGATGAGGCCGAAGGACCTGTGGAAAAGGCTAATGGTGAAGTTTAGAGGAGAAGAGGGGCTCGACTATGGCGGAGTGGCCAGGTAAGAGGCCGGAGCAGAATGGAGTGCGGTGGATGGGACAGAATTTGGTTCTGTAAACGCTGCATGAAGAGGTCTGCCTCCTAGTGGAAGAGTGCCAAACCACACAACTTACTCACTGTTTGTTTTGTCTGGTTTTTTCTTCTTTTTTCTTTTTTTTTGGTAGTAATTTCTTCATCACCTAAAGTTTTTACTCACTATGTTCTGAGTTACAGTTACACAGAAGATCTAATTTGTTTTTTTTTCTCCCTTGCCATCTCCAGGGAGTGGCTTTATCTGCTGTCGCATGAGATGCTGAACCCGTACTATGGCCTGTTCCAGTACTCCCGCGATGACATCTACACACTGCAGATAAACCCAGACTCTGCCGTCAACCCCGTGAGTCTCAGTCACTCCTGACAAACACAAAGCTTCGACCTGTCTCGCGTGGCTTTCACACACCGACTCGAGACGTTTTGTATGGAGAGGTCTCAACCCAGTTAAGCAAATTATGCAGCCAGACATAGGCCTCACTTCAGACACTGTCAAGAGGTTTGGGTCGTTGTGTCTTCTATTACACAACTTTGTCGCGCTCTGTGTTTGTTTGGGCTGGCGTCGGTCCATTTAGCCGCTGCTCTCCAGTCAGCAGGCATGATCTTGTGGTTTTAACTGTTGTGTTGACACTGTGCTGTTTTGGTTGTTTACTGCTTGTATCGCGTAGAACAGCACAGCCTGTCAAAAGGGGAATTCAGAGGTTTAATATTGAGTAATAAATTCCTAATGTGTACGTTAGATGTAGTCCAGAGGAGAACTGGAGCTCAGCCCCGAACATGCTGTCTGCTCATTTGGAAACTGAAGATGTTTTTGTCTCCCTGCAGGAGCACTTGTCATACTTTCACTTCGTTGGCCGTATCATGGGGATGGCAGTTTTCCATGGCCACTACATAGACGGAGGCTTTACTCTACCCTTCTACAAACAGCTGCTGGGTAAACCCATCACCCTGGACGACATGGAGTCTGTTGACCCCGACCTGCACAACAGTCTCGTCTGGATTCTGTACGTGGAAGAAATCAATTGACTTTTCTGTGTTAAATGAAAGGCGAAAGGATTTCTGAAGAATTACAACTCATTTAATCACAGAGTGATGCTCAGTATTTCTGTGACCACTCGATGCACGCTACATGTATTCAGATTTTTAAAAGAAAAAAGAAAAAAGTATGGTGTTTTGCCCACATTAAAATCTCTCTCCCACACTATGACGACAGCGCCCCCCAGGGTTTTTGAATATTTCTTACATCAGTGTTTTCACTGAATGAAAAACTCTTTGTATTTCTTTTTTTTTTTTACCAACAGTGACTGTGCAAAAATCCTGTTGTTACCTTGAAGTAGTAATTCTAATGTTGCTCTCTCACTCCAGGGACAATGACATCACAGGTGTGCTGGACCACACCTTCTGCGTAGAACACAATGCCTATGGAGAGATCATCCAGCACGAGCTCAAGCCCAACGGTAAGAGCATCCCCGTCACCCAGGACACCAAGAAGGAGTACGTCCGGCTCTACGTCAACTGGCGTTTCCTGAGAGGAATAGAGGCCCAGTTCCTGGCTCTACAGAAGGGCTTCAATGAGGTCATCCCCCAACACCTGCTCAAGGCTTTTGACGAGAAGGAGCTGGAGGTATTTAAATGCGTCCTCGCGTCTTATTTCTCAGTTCATCTTCAGGTTTATAAATCCAGCGTACTGACATGATCTCTGTACCTGTAGCTGATTGTATGTGGGCTGGGTAAAATCGACATCAACGACTGGAAGTCCAACACGCGGCTCAAACACTGCACTCCGGACAGCAACATTGTGAAATGGTTCTGGAAAGCCGTGGAGTCGTTCGACGAGGAGCGCAGAGCGCGGCTGCTGCAGTTTGTCACTGGCTCCTCCAGAGTTCCTCTGCAGGGCTTCAAGGCCCTCCAAGGTAAGAACAGCCGGGACAAAATACTACATGCGCACATGTGTTTTGCAATGTAAATGTTGTAAATGTAAATATTTATTGTTATGCAATAAATGCGAGACAGTCTAATGCTTGTAAGAACACTGTGATTTAATGACATGGCTTGGTGTGAATTGCTCTCTTTGTGGGATGGACTTGGACCAGACTGAGTCAGGTCATGCAGGTGAAAGTTGTGCGAAATGTTAATACTTAACATCAGATGAATAGTTAACGAAGGTGTGGTGGTGTAGCTTTTACTGTGTCTTTGTTACACACAGCGTGCCGACCACTCACAAGCTCTGTCAACACAATCTGGGACGTGTGTTTGGGATTCTTTGCCTCTCTGTGTGTGTCTGTGTCTCTGGGTTTCTCCGACCTGACATGAACCCTGAGTCTGTGCATAGTGCAGTGGTTCAGCAGGTCCATCCTGGCAGACGGCGCTGCCCAGAGACAGAGCACCCAGGCATGAGGAGTACACCATGATCCACAGGCAGACAGCACCCTTACACACCTTTTATATAACATGGCCATCCTGTCTCGGTCAAAACATCAACAGAGGCCAAAAGACCCAAAAACAACTCGCACACAAACTTGGACTTAAAGTGTCTGTAAGTCTGCGGGCCACAGTTCAGGGACAAAGTCAGTTCCTTGTTTCTTGTACCAAACAAGCATTTTCTTTTATGTCTGGAGAATATGATTTGTAGGCCGGGGGTGTCTCCGGAGAAACACAATGCTTCATTTATGTATGTTGTGACACATTTTTACCTTTTTTTTTTATCAAAAAAGAAAAATGCAGCTCCTGCGATTTTTCACTGGGCCATTCAGCTCTACCTGGAAGTTTCAGAATAAAATTCATAAATTCATATAGAGGGTATTAATAGATGATAATAGAACAATAATAGATATTAGCCTAAAATATTTCAGTGTTATAAATTCAATGGTATTTAAATTTTAACATTAAGTATTCAGTAGTGATTAAATTTTACAATTATTCACTTGCTTCCGAGATTAAAATCCTTTCGTCCTTTTCTTTGCTTCCATGTTATTGACTTAAAGCAGACCTCATCTCTATGAATAAAAAGCAGTTATCCAGGAGACTGTGCTTTGAATAGATGTCAAACTCTGTAAATATCTGCATCTGCAGGTGTGAGAGAGTCTGTTTCAGTGAAGTGTTGGTTTGTCTCTACAGGTGCCGCAGGCCCACGGCTCTTTACCATCCACCAGATTGATGCCAGCACCAACAACCTGCCCAAAGCCCACACCTGGTGAGCAGACTGTCAACATTATAATATTCTCCGATCTGCTTTTAATACCGAAGGGCAGAGTAGTAAAGCTCATCTTCTGTCTGTTAAAATCTGCTCTCACCCTCTCTTTTTTTTCTTGTCTTTTCTTTTCTTTTCCCAGTTTCAATCGGATTGACATTCCTCCGTACGAGCACTACGACAAACTGTACGACAAGTTGCTCACTGCCATCGAGGAGACGTGCGGCTTTGCTGTAGAGTGAGTCACTGACGAGGACAGAGCTCTGCAACAGCTAGAAGCAACATGGTTTGGCTATCATGTGCCCCCCCCCCACCACCACCACCCCACCCCCACACACACACCTCCAACAAATCAATCCACTCAGACGGGGGTCATCCACGGTTGCTTCACCCAGGGACGCACACACTTCCCAGGGACATGTGGCCAAGCTAAGGGAGGGTGGGGCGGAGAAGACCAGAAAATGTCATCTGACTGTGGGTTTTTTTAGACCCTCCGGCCCTCCTTTATGTCTTTTTTTATCATTGAAAAGGATCTCTTCAGCTGCTAATAACTCAGACTATTTACTAACTTGTGGAACCTGCAAAAATTTGCTGGCTCTTCCCTTTTTCTTTTTTTTTTTTCTTTTTTTTTTTTTTCTAAGTTCATTTTAGCATTTAAAAAATAGACTGTATCCATGTAGCAATGCTCCATTTTACCAAGCAGAACACGAGCTCGGTCCATTCTGAAACGACATTAACAAGACTGGTTTGTTTGCTAGAATACAGGGTTATTATTGGTTACCACAACCTACTCGGAAACACTAAATTTGGATGCGGAGTGTGCGTGACTCGGGCTGTTTGGTGCCTCAGAGTGATCACGCTGGGGCTATCAGTAACGCCAAGGCTGGAAAAACAGGGATGTGTGCGTGGATGAGAAGGCGAGACTAGAGACTGAATTAGGCAGAGCCCCGACTGTTTACAACCCTCTCCAAAGACGGCAGCAGGGACCTCTGCTCCCGAGTCGCTGCCCAACAACTAGCGCTGCATTCCCAGAAAACCCTATTTCGTCGTACGTTTGACAGCTAGTTTTGTTTGAAAATGAATAAATGAATGAATAGCTTGAAATGTGTTATTTTTATATAACAGGGAAAATTGAAAAAGAAACAATAAAATTCTATATAATATATATAATTTATTGTTGTTATATTTCAGAAACCCCTTTTCCATTGTTTCAGAAAAATAAATTCTTTTAAATGTTAAGTGTTACTGTTTAAATTATAGAAGACAATTTGTGAAAACAGAACTAAGCTTGACTGAATTTCACTAAAGAATGCTGTGGTTTATTTCTTGACACGACCTCTCTCGTACTGTACAAGGAGAGGTTTGTCTTAAGGGCAAAAAAATCTTAAAATCACAATGTCCTCTTGAGTGCCATAAACATTTTTGAATGAATGAATCTTTGCAAATATTGAGCACCCTTTAAATTCTACTGATTTCATCCTGGAGCTGCATATGGTGGTGTGTTGTTTCCCTTCTATTACGCTTTTTTAACAGTTCGTCATTTGTAGCTGGGCTATATTAATGTCACTAGCATGAAGCCTACCATTACTTTCTAATGGTATTCTGTTCAGAAGAGTCCAAAGTCCATCATAATCTATTCTGTGTTGCCTCCATGTTGTCGTTTTGGGGAAAAAGTAACACCTCCACTACCTTTTCGCCATGTGGTGCTAAATAGCATTAACTTTTGTCTTATATTGGCAACCTTACTCATAGACATACTACTGCTTAAAGTGCACAGTACACTACTCATGCTCATACCTGTTTGTGGCCACGAAACATTTCCAAGAAATCAAGAGCTCTACCTAGCCACATTCTCAGGAGATGTCATACGTAGTCTGTAGTGTCCTTTTGATCTGACGACCAGTTCTGACCATTTGTCTTGATTTCCTGAATGTTAAGCGGTTTAAAAAAAAAAAAAAGAAAAAAAAAAAGAAAAAAAAAAGAAAAGAAAAAGAAAGTGTTGTCATTTGCATTGTTTTGCCCACAGCAGACCATTAACACACAGTAATTGTTGCATGTCTCCATATGTGCTTTTGGTTGAAAGTGAACTGAATAAGATGAACTCCTGTTTTTAGCCTGCTATACAGTTCTATCAGTGATGGTTTTTTTTTTTTTGTTTGTTTGTTTTTTGTTTGTTTTTCTTAGAGAGAAAGGGGGATTGTTTTCTACCATTAAAATGAAATTCTTGAATGTTTTCAGAAGATGCTGCCTGTCTAGCAATCTCTATGACCGTGGACTGTTCTTAACGTTTGCATACACTAAAAAAAAAAACAAAAACAAAAAAATGAACTGTTCGTTTTCATTCTTTTATGTAGACGAGTGTATGCAAAGTGAAAAGTGTCCTCAGATGGTGCTTTGTACAGTAATAAGATATTGTTCATATACTGTATGTGGATCAAACAACTTGTAATTTATCTTTAACTTAAGTAGAAAAAGGATTTCCTTGAACTGAAAAGAGGAATTGCACACAAACAGAATGAGGTTGCCATGTGTATTTAATGGTGACTTCTGCACCAGATATTCATTCACCTTTAAGTCCAGTGCACAAGCTGATCGCCCTACTGTCTATTCCTACACTACATTACTCAGCATTGCCCCGTAGCTGCCTCTCATTGAAGAACTGAACTTTTTATTAAACAAGTCAAAGTTGAGAGATGCCGCTCTATTTTTTTTTTTTTTTTTTTTTTTTAAATAGCATGATCCACTTAGCAGGACTATATCTCTCATAGCTGACTGATGCAATTTGATGTATGTTAACACTATCATTTTGTAAGAGTATTTTATTTTTGTGTGTAATTAGTTCTAATTAAACTTGCCTTTGTCTAACAATGTTAAGGCCTTGTACAAAGATGTATCTGTCTTTTTTCCTTTTTTTTTACTTTTAAGTAGTAGTTATGAAAAAGAAAGTTTTTTAATATGAATTATTGTTAGATTACCTAATATAGTTGTGTTCTTAAACAGGTCCTTTGGTACAGAAATTATTTACATTATGCCAAATTATCAGGGGCTTGTTAGTGGCTGAGAATAAATGTCAAATGGAGGATGCAAAGACTTGTGCCTTACATTTGAATGGTACAAGTCCCTGACCACCCACTGTGTATTCACTGCTACCACTTTGGATTAAAACGTCTGGCAGATGGCTCCCGGGGGGGGGGGGCCAGGGAAATGGGGTAAAATGACAATGAACAGGGTGGGGGTTGGGGGCTGGTGTCAAGTACAATTTTTGTTATTTTCATGGATGTGTAACTGCATCATAGTACAGACAGGTCTTGACAAAGTTTATGCACAGACTGGAAAGAAGAGGATAGAAGATGAGATTTTATTATGATAATAATGGTTCATATTTTGATTCTTCCCTTCTTTGCAAATACTGGCTCAGTAATCACTATCAATAAGTGAGAATGTTTGTGCATTTCACCTTACATAATTTTGGCAACTTCCATAAAAAGAGTTACTGCTCAACATTTAATGTTTTTTGGGTTTTATTTAAGTTAGTGAATAAACTTTACTTTCTGTAGAGGTTTATCTATGTTAGTACAAGTTTTCTTTTTCATATAAAACTCACAGGTAGTCTACATGATGTCTGTTTCTCCTCCTTTGGAAGAAATCAACTTTCTGCCACACTTTGAGTATCACTATTCTAGTTCTGTAACAAAATAATCTGTAATAAGTCATTAACATTTGTTTGTTCACTTATTTCAAGAGAAGTTAAGTAAAAGAAAATGTATCACACATGGGATCTCATTACAAATAGAAAAGAAAAAAACTAGTTCCCTGTATGTTTGGGTTGGTCCGGATGACGTCATTTACCGTAATCCAACGGAAGCACAGTCAAAAGCCGAATCACCGGTTTCTGTCTCGTACATATTCATCCGCCAACATACGTCGTAATAATACTGTGTATCAGATGGAAGCACCGGAAAAGAGAGTTTTTAGGTTTCTCTCTTTAATCTGGCAATTTTTTAAGTGTAACAGTAGATACCAAATATAGTTCCTGATTTTTAAGATCTACACAAGCAAGTGTATGTGATTTTTAAAACTTTAGTCATGGAACTATTCTAAGTTAGCTCATAAACTATATTCAGTGGGGGCTTTGGGGATCCTAGTGTAATATTTTCGATAAGCGTTACATTGAATTTAAAACACAGTATCACAGCTCCGCTGTGTGTCTATGTTTTCAGTCGTCAAACACTGAAGTCGAGAACCGTATGGCGGATGAATACATCGGAAGGTGGACTTCCTCTTGCTATATAAACCGGACCTCATTTTTACATTACCGGCATTTCAGCACCACTGCCGGTCGGGTTTTTTTAGTCGGCGGTTAAGCCACAGTGTTGAGTATTTATCTTTTTTATTTATAAAGTTAGTTTACAAAATGCCTGGATATTCCGACAGAGACCGCGGCAGGGACAGAGATAGAGATAGAGGGTAAGTACATTCCTTTTTCGTATTTGAGGCCAATTTTGCTCTTGTGTGACTCGTAGAAATGGCTGACAAGACTCGTCGCCGAAAAAATAAGACGCTCAACTAAATATTTTGGTTGAATTTCGAAGGAATTGCCATAATTAACTGTTTGCTTTTAATTGAGAGCCTACAAATGTGAAAAGCAAGCAGTTGTACGGCTTTATTTACCCACACAAGGCCAAGGCCTCCGGTGAACGGAGCCCGTTGTCTTTGGCTCAAGGCCTTGTCTGGCCTCGTGCCCCGGCACGGTGGCTTTCCGTTAGCTTCAGGGTAGCGTTAGCTTCCCGTTAGCTAACCCGGCGTTACATTTCTCATTTCATCCCCGTAAGAAACACTTATTCTCAGCACACTGTGGAAATCGCTGGACTACTTTGTTATTTACACATTTTAAACGATAGTCTGCCCACGATATTTACTTTGTTGCTCACATGTAATGTGTTTTGCTCCAGCGCGGAGCAGTGATGCTAATACAGCTGGCTAGTCGGCTTTTCGCCATGTGGCAGCTTGAATGCGGATACAAAATGCCGGCTGTTTTTCCATTGTTCCTCTGCTGGCTGGAAAGTATATGGCAGCTATATAATTTCAGAGTGACGCAGTTAAGATGGGGCTCTGATCGTTTTGAATTGCTGTTATTGCCGCCGTTAATGCCATAACTTCAGTCCCATCTGACTTTGTGCACCACGACTTAATTTATTGCAGCTATGGCGGTGGTCCTCCTCGCTTTGGTGGCAACCGTGGTGGCGGTGGAGGAAAGTTCGGCAACCCCGG